ATCTCTAATGTGTAACATTAATGAACACTAATCTCTAATGTGTAACATTAATGAACACTAATCTCTAATGTGTAACATTAATGAACACTAATCTCTAATGTGTAACATTAAGAAACACTAATCTCTAATGTGTAACATTAATAAACACTAATCTCTAATGTGTAACATTAATGAACACTAAGTTAAGTATGCAAGTTATTTTACCAGGAAGAAAAGTTAAGCCTTTATCAATATTACTTGAAACGAGGTTCAAAATGACATTTCGATAATAAGTATTACTCATCGGCCCCTTCGTTCAACGTAACTCATGAAATACTACATTTTTTAATATTGAATTTCATCTATCAAGGTGAACCGCTCTTCGATGTGATCATTGGGACGACTCATTTAACCATCATATTATAATACCGAAACACGTCTGAAAACGAACCTTGAAACCTAAAGGAAAGTAGAACTTAAAAGAACTGATTTTTGTTTATGAAGTCAGCCCAGTAAAACGTCCTTGGGATTATGCATGACTAAAAACGAAACAAAAAATAACAAAAACGAGAGAGAGAAAACAAAACAAAGATCAGTCGAGAAACGTTTCCCTTGGATCTCTGTTACCATGCGAGCTGAATGGAATTTTATTCATCAGTTTGATTGGTTTTACAAGTAAAGGAGTTATAGTGACCAGTACGTTTTTAAGTTATAGTGACCAGTACGTTTTCAAGTTATAGTGACCAGTACGTTTTCAAGTTATAGTGACCAGTAAGTTTTTAAATTATAGTGATCAGTAAGTTTCTAAGTGACCAGTAAGTTAAGTTATAGTGACCAGTAAGTTAAGTTATAGTGACCAGTAAGTTAAGTTATAGTGACCAGTAAGTTTTTAAATTATAGTGACCAGTAAGTTTTAAGTTATAGTGACCAGTAAGTTTAAGTTATAGTGACCAGTAAGTTAAGTTATAGTGACTAGTAAGTTTTTAAGTGACCAGTAAGTTAAGTTATAGTGACTAGTAAGTTTTTAAATTATAGTGATCAGTAAGTATTTAAATTATAATGACCAGTAAGTTTTTAAGTGACCAGTAAGTTAAGTTATAGTGACTAGTAAGTTTTAAATTATAGTGACCAGTAAGTTTTTAAATTATAGTGACCAGTAAGTTTTTAAATTATAGTGACCAGTAAGTTAAGTTATAGCGACCAGTAAGTTTTTACATTTACTTCTGTAAATGTTAGCTTTATGTTAGTGAATGTTAGAAGTGAATGAAGCTTTTGAAATATGGAGTCACCTTCATTAGTAAGTTTTAATTATAAACATAATTAATACAAAGACATTTCTATCCGACTCGTTAGTTACGATTTAATTTTTATTTACTTACGAAAACAACAGTGCCACTGAATTTAAATAACAGATTGAAAGTTATGTAAACGTCTAAAATAGCAC